TATTTTCCACTCCCTATCTGATCAGCATTTTTACCTAATTCCCTTGGAGTTTAACATTTAATGGCATACTTTTCGGGGCGGAATTTAAGGCGTTCGGATAGGGAGAATGAGCGATTTCATTGTCTTGCTCGATGTGCAGCTGTCTCCGTGGCGAAAACGTGTCAGCCATTCTCATATGTTCACATATATGTGTACATGCAAAGCTATGTATGTAAATCGTTCCGAGACGCCCTCATGTCTGAGTCACGGCAAAGCCATGCATAAAATATATATGTGCTGGAACAAGAGAACTTTGTCCAAATGTGCGTGGGAACATCGCAAATACAAACGAGTACTTTTTGCTTATATAATTCATTACCCACCTTTGTGGCATGATTTTTCGCGAATGAAATTGAATTCATGTGAAAATTCGACGGTAAGTGGCCTCTCCTACCTTCAAACAATCAATCAATAACTTTAGGAGGGTTCCAATTCACTTCTAAGCAACTTTGCCTTTGCCCTTTTTGGGGACTTTTTACGATAAAGAATGGAATTACTTCATACATATTAAAAGAAATACATAAATATTGTTTCTAAAGAGAGTATGTCGTCTTAAAGTCTAAGTAATAACCTCACTTAATATACTGGGAAATGTAAGGAATCCATTTTTTTCAGAAACCCCAACAATTTGCTGGCAAATTAAGAAAACTCCCGCATTTCTATAGGTTCTTTCAACTTTGACTTCTGGCTGTTTCTGGCAAAAAATAAAGCTTAAAGCCCGAAAGCAAGGAAAGTACAGGAAAAACTTTCTTTACGCTCAATGTCAGGGCCTAATTGGGCATCTTTGGCTTGCTGTTTGCGAGTTGGCTACAATTTTTCGACTCATTATGCTGGTTAAGTTAACAACAGTGACTCAATTGTGCCTCGCCCCAGCTGACAGCCCAAATACCCGAAATACCCCAAAACAAAACCGAACTCGCAAGCCAACTAATTAAGCTTCGATTAACTTTGGAACGAGAACAATGGAGCAATGCCAGTATGACAAGCCACAGAATACTGGAATCGGCAGCCGGAAATCGTTGCCATGGCACATCCAGCAAATCGACGGGATTTGGTATGGCCCCAAGGAATTGGCCACGATGAGTGCGGCCTAAACAATCCAAACCATTTTGTAAATAATCGAAATATGGGAAGCGGTTCAAGTGCTTTGGCGCAAACTTTTCCCACCATGCACACGTTGCGGTATCATTTCCGTTGAAACTATACCACTATAACTATATAGCCTCGAGTGCTTAAAAGTTCAAGATTGTGAAAATTTCAACAATGGAATAAAACTTTTTTATGTTAAATGGGAATTAGAGCAGAGCCGGAAGGGTAAAATACGAAATGGCGAGGGAGACCAGAAGCCATCAATGTACGCCAATATTGATGAAATATTAAATCAAAGTTTCGGGAACCCCGACAAGTCTGATCAGAATAGTGAAAACTTAATATGTTACCGAGAGTTTAGCGTTATTAATTTATAATAATATTTGTTATTGCTTAGCATTAATAACTTTATACTCCAAGGGTTTTTTATGTGGTTATATATGTTTAAGGCAGATTAAAAAGATTATTTTTTTTGCTTTAATTCAAAAATTGCATATGTTTTTGTCTCTAAAATACTGAAAAATGTTATTAACGTAATTTAAACGCTATTGAAATTTTTTCATATGTGCTTCACGGCACGGAATTAAAGTTCTTAATTTTATCAAGGCAGAAAAATATTTCAATTTGAGGTGTATTTCTTCTGCTAGCTAAAGGCCCCTTTAATTCGTACTTTCATGGTGCCGCATCAGTTTGTTTAAAAAATCATGGGGTATTTTTTTGGTTTTACATAATGCCGAGTGGGTGCTGGAGTTGTCCGTTCTTTTTGCCCACGACACTGATGCCAATTTCAATCAATTCAATTAATGCCTCAATTCATGGTTTTATCTCCCATTCCGCCCCTGTAACACCATACGAAATGGTGCAAAATGGGGAAAAACAAAGCAAAAGAAGGCAAGAAAAAACGTCGAACGGAAATCCCGAACAAACCGCAATGGCCGGCAGCAGACAATGCAAATTGTTTGAGTGCCGCCCTGTGAATCTGTATATATATCTGTATCTGTAGCTGTAGCTGTAGCTGTATCTGTATCCCTGTACGCAGTCCGTATCTGTATCTGTAACTGCGGTTTCCGTTTTGGCTTTCTTTTTGTGTTTTTATTGCATGTGAAGTATTTGAAGTATTTGCGAACTACGCTCGAGTGTATTCATTCCCTTTTAGTTGCGGAAAGCGAGGGATGGGAGACTTTAATGTACTCGCAGTTCATTTTGTATTCATGCACTTTACAATTTCTTGTTTCCGATGCACAGATGCACAGGCCAGCAAATGCATGGGCAGGCCACAATAGTTCGGCCAGGGGACACAGCCTCAGCCTCGGATGCACAAGGAGCACCAGGATCCAGCTGGAGCGGACTCAGCAGGATGTGCTCCTTCGGTTTCGTTTGGGTAATCATCTGCTCCTGAGTGCTTGAGTGGTCTTTAAGCTATCCGCTTGCTGATGATGGATAGAAAGAGCTGCATCTCCACTTCCAGCCGGGGAATATGATTTATGCGAGCGCCCAAAACCACCGAAAGCTCTTCGTTCGGTTTAGGTAATATATTTGTTAACCTATGTAAATGCCAAAAATATATGCAGCTGAGTGAAAAGTTACACCTTTTACGGTTGTTTCTTTCAAAAGGATATGTTCAAAGGAAGCCACAAAATCTTGACACTAACATAAAAGATTAAATCACTCAAAAAAGGTTCTCAAGAAGAGTGTGCGTTTGACATCTGAAGCCACTTATTTGAATCTTTAAGAACATTTATACAGTCACTGAATTGTACTATAAATTTAAACTGATAGTATTCCCATTAGTTAATACAGTTTATTTATAAATCTGCAAAACCACATTTAAATCGAAAAAGTAATGACATTTATTCACATCCAATTAATAGAAAATGGTTGTCAAGTTTGGCCTCAAAGCAAAAAGCTACAATAAAAGACTTGCATTTTTGTCATATTTTTAATTGTTTGTACTTTCGCGTGTCAATAATAACATGTGCTGATTATTCCGTTCATGCGTTATACTTTGTACTGATTTATCACCTTTAATTAATCGGTTATTTCTGATTTTTTCTGTTTGCGGAAAATAAAAGATTTAAATTAAAATTAATTGGGAACCTGCTGCTTTTCTCGACAATTCGGAGACTTGAAAAGGTAAACTACGATATGTTAATGCCAATTAAACCAATTTTATTTCCTCAGACAAGGAATAGTCAGCAGTTCATTGGAATAAGAACTATATTAAATTGGAAGAGAATACCCTTAGCTTGTATTTAATTGTTTCGCACTGTAGAGACCCGTACTGCAATTGTTTTTCAATGCAAATTCCGGGTACTTGCAATCACAGAGCTCTTTCAGTCTTTTTTTGGCTGGGGATCGACCTTAAGTACATTTCCATAAAACAACATGGCAACAATGCAGGACCAACGCAAATATCGAAAGGGAAACACGTGCAGGCGGCTGCCGAGTGGCGACAATCATTACAAGGACGATGGGCATAAACAACACAGCAGCAACATCCTGACAGACGGAAACGCAAACACAGGACTCGCACACTCACACACTCACATTCACGTATTTACATACCACAGCACGTGCGGCTATATTTGTGGCACCATTTATAAAGCAGATATGTATATATGCGACACAAAAAACCCTCGCATTATGTCAAATGCTTTGTTTGTCCTTTACGGGAGTGGAGATGTCAACGCCCGTTGTTTTCGTCCTGGCGGCATTACGTGCCTGTTGAATTGGCGCGCCACAACTCGGATTCAGTTCGCATTTTTACTGGCCAATCGAGCACAAATTAAACCCGGATCAAGGACCTGGCCAAAGGTACTCGATTCAGCAATCGCTGGCTAAGCACTCGGGCGACCGTTTTCAACCTGAAGTTTTGTCCGGCTTAACTTGCAGCCAAAGTTTTTCCTTTTCTGGTAAGAGAGAAGTAAGCACAATTGGGTCAATATACAGCCAAATCGCTTGTGCCCAAGCCTGGGATTTGTTGGTAGCAGGAAGGGGAAACAGCTAACAGAAACAACTAAAGAAAAAGATTCAGAGTCACAGGACAAGAGCCAGTCCTTTAGCTTTTCAAGTTCAACTCTGTCTGCGTTGGATCATTGCGATAATTGATGTCTGAAAATTGTTAATTATCCTCAAAGTCGGCGTCCACATCCGCTTCTAATACGTTTATTAGCCGCTCGCTTTGTGAATTTTTGATATCCACCTATGATGGCAAAATCCCACAACCAGTCAAGACTGTTCAATTATACTAATGCCATTATCTCGGTATTACGCATACGCAGTGTGCACCCAATGGAGGCTCGTAAACTACAGAGCTGGCATTGGGATATTATTTGTGGGCTTCCTCCAATGCCAAGTGCAATTACTTGCAGAACATTTAGTCGAAGTCGAAGCGGGGTGCTCTTAAATATTTTAGTCAGCTAGGGGAGTCTTTAGGTTATGTTGTGCCCAATAATTTATCTGGGCAACACATTCCCAACCGAAATTTCCAAGCCACAAAGTGTCAGACTTGAGCTGCGGCTTCTGCTGGCAATAAATCCTGAAGTTCATTAAAAAGTTTATTTATATTTCACCTGCTGTGAGCGAGGGAAGGAGTCTGGCAAGTGTCAAAGAAATAAAAGCCCGAATTGCCGACAAATCTTTGTTAAGCTTGACCTTGACTGATGGCCTCTCATAAGAAGTTGTTTAGAAACCTGGAAGAGCCAACTTAAACACCTAAATAAAAACAGAATAAGTAAACAGATTTATTAACCAGTAAGTACACTAAAATAAAATAAGTTTCACAACCGCTTAGATAAAAGAGATTTTTCATTTATCACAACATGTACATAGAAATGCAATAATATTTAGTTACAACGAAATCGTTATCCCTTTTTATCATTAATCAATATACTCCACTTTGTTAATTAACACCAAACACAAAACATATAACGACATAGGGTTTTCCATATAGCCAAAATATGTGCATTCACTAGCTTCATTCAACTAAAAGTGTTTCGCCATTGAAGAGTCAACCAAAGCGCCATCAAAAGGAAGCGCTCCAATAAGTTTGAATAGCACAGAGATACACTCTTCAGCATGAGCAAAATGTATGTGAATGCGTACCACGAGATAGTGTGGCTTCGGCCTTGCTTTTGTATTTGTTAACAATAAAGGAGGTGGGTGCTTTATCTGGCTTTAATTAAGATCTGGTTGAAAGAGTCCATATATGACGCGTTCGGGAGTGCACATGAACTGATAGCGGAAGAATAACCAAGCTTAAAGTATCACAATTGAAGCAGAAAAGTAATACCACAAATATTGGTCGGATGTCAGTAACTTTATAAATGAATCTGCAAAGGAAAAAATTGCAAAAATAAATTGAAATTATTTTTAACATAATAAAACTTACCCAGTATTGATTTTCTTCACTTATCCTATAGATAATATATAAAACGACCAGGCAAATGTGTACTAGGATTATAACAAGTAGGAGTATTATGTAAAGAATCTTCCAGCGTTGATCTATCCGGTGACGCTCAAGGCTTTCGTTACGTCGGGAAAACATTACTGATGATTGATAAGTGTTATTTTATTAATAATAATTTTAAAACCATTTACTCAGTTCAATTTATAGGAAAAATGAATAGATGCCATTCGAAGAAATTTAAACGTAGTGCACAGGTACACTCAAAATAAAAATACATTTTTTTAATTTTTCAAATATGCAGGCTTTTTTCTTGATACAAGGATGTGTCTTATACATATAGTCTCTCTATAAATTAAAGTCTCTCTAATAACAAGAACAATTTTCAAACTTTAAGAACAAATTTCAATATTTTAGGAAATATTTTTATTATAATAAATAAAACTATTTTACGAAATTAATGAAGAATTCTGTTTAGGACTTCCTTTACCAATCAAATTAGCTTGTTTAATTTGTTCAAACGAAATTCGAATAATTGTGCTTTATATCTAATGGCTCACTTACCTTTGCTTCTGGAACAATGGACATGACTGGTATTAATTAACTCAAGTTCAAGGGGTAATCGAATCGCCCACCCCTGCGAAAGTTTGTATCGCCAGGGGGCTCAATCGCACCGCACGTCGTAGGAGGAGCACTCCCCAAAGTCCGACTTCAGGGTGAAGTACATGCCAACACCAACTCCGGCGACCAGGATCAGGACTCCCAGCCAGTAGACCAATCGCCAGAAGGGCCATGACGAAGGCGCCTTCTGTTTAGGACGCTCCGGCCTGGCCTCCTCCTCGTCGGCTCGACCTCTTTGTGGTTGGCGGCGCGGCTTATTTCCCATTTCCCAGGGCCCTTAACTTTGACTACGATTTCCCCCTTTTGCCGATAATTGATTGGATTTTCCCGAGCAACTCGACAGCAAACGAATGATAACATTTTATTGAAATTACTAAAACATCTTGTGGGCTGAGATTCATCTCGGCGGCAAAACTTTCGGCTAATTATTTAAGTTAATTGGCCTTTGTCCGCAAAGGCCAGGCGAAATAATGATGATGATGGGGGTGGCTGGGTCAGGCCTAAAATATTTGCTCGAAGGCCACAAAATGTCTCGCAAATTTGTTCAAATTACTCGGAACACAACAAGAGTCGCCACTCTTCGCTTCGACATCCCTGCAGGCCGCAGTCGGAGTCTGAGTCCATGCATAAATAAAGGGTCCTGGCTGGAGTACAAAAGGACTTTGTTTGCGGTCGAGAGATGAAAAGTCATTTCTCTCCATTATTTGCCAACTAATTGGTTGTAGGACTTGTGAATTTCTGTTGCTCGAATGTTTGCCCAAAGAATTTTGTAATTTTGTGAGGTGTCAAGTGGTGCTGTTGCCATCACTCTGCCTTTTGCTGTATCAATTAAATGGCAAATTGCCCAAATGAAGGATGCAGCTTAATAAGGCCATTGCACATTTGTAAATATACACATATACAATGCCACTTAAGCTTGCCGTAGATCTTATTCTTGCCAGGATTTAAGTGCGTTTCGACGGGGATTTCCCCCGTGGCTGTCCTTTGGAGTGCTGCCGATGCCATTACTGCTTCAATTTCAGTTTCTGTTTGATGTTAATGAAAGTTTCCGTCGTGCAAATAAAGGCAAAAGCATGGAAATCAGTAAAACAAATTGCAATCTGCTTTTTATCGCACGTCGCTGCATGACTGCTGGCTGCTGGCTGCCGGCATTTCCCAGCTCCGTCATCGATTGCCTGACTTTTCCCCACTTTCCCCGGCTTTCCCCTCGCTGGCCAGGCTATTGACTTGCTCATTACAGCCCTGATGACGACTGCTCTTGCCACAGCTCCCGCCTTTCTGTACATGTATATCTGTGTGCTTTGGTTCCGATTCGTTTCCATTTTGCTCCAAAAAGCATAGCTCTTTTCATTCCGCACCCGTATCGCGGGTCGGCAATCAGGGGGCATAAATTGTTAATATATCTTAACGGATATTCAATTTCCGTCGACCAAGAAATGCATTAAATTCGTAACAAAGCTAAGCCGCTTCAACCGAAAGATGGCGAAATTGTTGGACTCCAGCGGGGTATTATTAAAAATTCAAAGTCGTTATAGAATGGCAAAACTTTTTGCCAGTCGCCAGTCCGGGCCAAGACATAATGATAATATAGAGACGGAGTGGGGTGGCTGAAAAATAAGGAATGGCCAGGACAATGGGGAGACAACAGGCAAACTATGAACTGGGAAACTGGGAAACTGGAAAACTGGCAAACTGGTAAACTGCAGAACTGCGAAACTGAGATCCCGAGAAGCTCAACTATGCCCAAGTTGGCTGTCCGACTGTTTATTTTCACAAGACTCCGTCTTTCAGTGGGCTTCGGCCTTATTACGCTCGGTGGCGTGGCCCATCATCTGCATGGCCTTGGGTGGTGGCAGGTGTGGGCCGGTGGTGGGTGGTGATAAGTGGGTGGTGCAAGTGCCGGGACGCCGGGACGAGCAGCCAAGTTGTCAACTAACTTTGCAACAATAATCGCCAACGTCGTCGGAGTACGAGTGACAGAGCTGAAGCAGCAGCTCGTAGATAAAAACCGAAAACAATAAGACTCTAGGCTGACTTTTATTCAGTCATCTGGGCCCCACCTCCGGCTCTGCAGCGTTTACCCTCGAAAAAGCAAAGGTCTTCAAAAGGAGCAAACAGCAGCAAATAGGCTGCTCGGGTAAGGATCTCTTCAGACTTTCTAGTCGTGGCACAAAGGCGTGATTGCTTTTGATTCTTGTTTGGCCAGACGAGAATGAAGAAACTGGAGGGGTAAGGTAGGTTGATGTGTGCTCTTAGTAGTTTTCGCTTTAATCAAATGGTGCACCCAATCAGATTTAATGCCTTTCCAGTCCAGAGGAAAAGGTGATTAATATTTATAGAAAAATAATTCGCCAGGTGAGACAAAATCGTAAAATTAAATTGAAGTGCTTCAGACGGCTTAACAAATGTTATTTATTTGAGTGCGCTGTCCAGGTGAAACAGGTGTGATGCTTAAACTAAAATTAAACCATTTCGATTAAAATATGCTAATAATAATAATGTTTGTTAAAAAGTAGCCTGCATGTGCTGAATTTAATTTATATATATGCTAATCACATTTAAAAATACATACATACATGTAAAATAAAATACGAAGATAATAAATATATATATAATAAAGATAAACAGAGCAGTAAAAAATAAAACAATTTAGCAAAAACTAAAGGTTAGAATTGAAGTCTCCTTTAAACGGGATCCCATTTAATTAGATAAATCTGTAGGCCAACTTTTTGCTTCACCGAACTATTGAATTAGCCGCCTCGCCAGGGGGTGTTTAAGAATGTCTATCCAATTTCTGGCATTCTCGTGGGTCGTGCTAGTCCTCGAAAAAGAGCAAACGAGCTGGCAGGATAGTGTGCGTGGCATATGTAAATTCCGAGCTAATTAAAATTAGCATATATTTCCCCTTTTCGCGGGGACATATACGTATGCTGTATGTGTGGCGACGTGCATGCAGAGTGGTGGGGCCCATTATCTGGCACAGCCGCAAGAAGACGTGGAAAACTACGCGCTCCGAGCTGATTAAAAGCGAAAGCTAACAAGCGTTTGCTCTTTGCCCCTTCGCTCTGCCCTTGCAACATATGGGTCCTGACCCCCAAGCCCCCATGCCCCACTGCCACGCCCCTCCAGCCTGCGCCCACTTCGCCAGAGGGTTTCTGTGTCATTTCGGCTCCGCATTAGAGTCGTAAAAATTTATTGTAACTTTTTTCAGGCCACCCATGTCTGAGCCGACGGGCTTAAGGCATTACGCCTTTTAATTAAACCGTTGAGATGTGTGCCAGACATAAAATAAAATGGAATGAAATGTAATTTTGCATATACGAGTATATATGTTTAAATTGTTTTCCCTCAGAGAGTTTGAGCTGGCTTTAGTCGATTACAAAGCTTGGTATTAATTATGATAATTATGCGTAAGCGCTGGTTGGCATTTTAATTGCTCATACGCCAAGCTGCACATTTCATAAAAAATGCATCAAAAAGAAAAACGGAAAAGGGAAAAATCTGGGATAAAACGTGCCATAAAATTTCATAATAAAAATCTTGTAAATTTAAAATTACAAAATCCCCTAGAGCAACATGCATCAATTCGTAGCTCAGTTCACTTGGCTTGTTTTTCGAGGATGCATTGTCCTTGGTCGGGTCCTTTGTTAATTGCCGGAAATGCAAATGGGCGGCAAGTGGAGGGGGAACAAATGGCTGGGGGCTCTGTCGACCATAAATGATTTCCATTTTAAATGCGTGCGAACCACTCTTCCATTTTACCATTTATTTACTTTGGAGGTGAGCCAGCTTCCTTTTGGGGCCCCACTTTGCACGCAATTTTCACTTCTTTGGCCATCGCTTGTTCCCTTTTCGTTGGGACAACAATTCGCTTTGGCTTCACACCAAATTTGATTTCATTCGCAAGACGCTCTCAGGTTAAATGGTGCAGAAACTCCTGTTGACTTGTCGGCTGGCTGACCGACCCCAAGTAGGATCTCCGAATGAATTTAAAAGCCACTTCTCGGCACAGAAAGAAATTAGAGCATATAAATCCCTATTATATCCCAATCTATCTTGTAAAAATAAATAGGTGTGGTACTTTGATGGTAATACATTAGCAAGAGGCTGCAGGTTCCGATTCCAACGCAGTCACTTTGGTTCACATACTCGTATCTCCAAATTGATTTGGAAAATCCTATAAATCGAAACTTTTTCTCTGTGCAGAGGGCCGAATGGCCAAATCCTGTTTGCTGTATCTCTATAAATAAATGTCACAAGTTCTACATTTCAATGCAGGCCATCCGAATGCTCTCCATTCGCTGTCAATTTGTATGCTCTCTAGCGCATTTGCATAACAAAATTGCCATGCATTTCTCATTCGTTTCCGATTTTATTTCATTTTTTTCGGGCCCGCACTTTGAACTCTCGAACGCAGTCCAAGTCGCCGAAAAAGTCAGTTATCCATTTGCAGCTCAGCAAGTTTTGACTGCAGAATGTCAACAAAATAAATGCATAAATAAGGAGATCATCCTGTCGGGGAACGTCAGGGCCACGCCCACTCCGCAGCCACGCCCCTCGAAGAGGTCTCAATATAACGAGATGGTGAAAAATGTTTGAGTTTTGCATTATTAAAGTTCTTGGCTGGCAGTTGGCAACTTTTCACGTGCTGATAAATGGCCCCGAGCTCTCGAAGTGGGTGGAGAAAAGCAGATATAAAACGAAAGCTATTCCATCTTCACTCCGGGTGCGAACATCCTTCAATTGAAATATATCTCTTTTTTTCTCCGGCCATCTACGTACGTACCTATATGTGAACGGGAGTGGGATAAGCTCGTGCATACTTTTCTGGGCTGCCAGGGGGAAATCATGCCCCTAAAAACTCCACAATTAAAGTTTACTTGGCACTTATAATTAATTAAATGCGAATTACTTGACCATCCCCTCGCCTTAGTGCCATTAAAAGATCGCCTTATCCCTTGGGGTTTTCTTTTCACATCAATCCATTTATTGTAAAATACGCCGGTCTAGGGGCCAAGCTTCGTGGTTTTCCTTTTAGTTGCTTAACTTACAGGACATAAAATTAATGTATACATAATATAGTTCATAACTTACGGGCTAAATGCATTTTTTAGCTCTTATGGTTTTTGCCCTTCGCTCACTTCATTTGTTTGTTATTTATTTTTGGTATATGCAAAACTGCAGAAAATAGTTTTCAGTTTCTCTTGTCGTAAAAACTTGCATATTATCTGTTCTATTTCTGACTTGATCTCTTTGGCATGCGACTCCATCGGTTGGGGAAATTGTGTAGGTTGGTTTTGGA